TTTCCATTCTTGTGTTTGAATAATCGTACGAAATAATCCGGCTGACCTTCCTCGAGAGACACGACCCGGTGTCCGAATCTTTCGATTCTACTCCGGAAATTATTTACAATAAATTGGCGCCGTTGCCGGGGAAGGTTTAGGTTTATTTTGTGCGCCTATTCATCTTGTTTTTAGTGTTTCTCTTATTTCTTGTGATTTCTCTTGTTTCTGTGTTTCTCTTGGTTTCTTTTTCTTTGCTTGGTTTTGTTCTTTAGTTGATTTTGTTTTTATTTTATTTTCTGTGCTCTACCGGTGGTGCTCGTAACCATTTGTTGTTTGAGTGTATGCGTACCAGGAGTGGACGTGTACTATCTCCAATTAACAAGTCGGTTAGTGAAAGCTTGAGGGAACTGTTAGACGAGCTTACACTGGAATCTGAGGAAAGAGACCAGCACTCTCCGGAATCGTCACAAGGCAGTAACATCGACATGGGAGAACAACAGCAACAAGCTCCTCGGAACACTCTCCGAACCTTGGCCCAGCCGGTTATCGGGCCTGTCACTTCGTGCATCCGTTTGCCAGATCAAGCACGAAATTATGAGCTGAAGATGATTCACTATAACCAGCTGCCAGCATTCCATGGGCTCCCGAATGAAGACCCACTTAACTTCATCCGGGAGTTCTACAATGTGCTCAACACCTTTCCTCTCAACGGGCTGAACGAAGACCAATTGAAGATGAGGTGTTTCCCCGAGACGTTGAAAGACCGGGCCAAGGCCTGGTTCATGACACTTGCACCAGCTTCTCTGACCACCTGGACTGAAGTCTACTCGAAATTCATTGGGAGATTCTACTCCCATCAAAAGACCCAAGAGCTTCGGTCACAGATCGTCACGTTTGCCCAATTACCAAGTGAGCCTCTTCACGAGGCCTGGGAGCGATTCAAGGATCTCCAGCGGCAATGTCCCCACCACAATCTATCACCGGGACTACTGATGAATTGCTTCTACGACTCCCTCAACCAGAATTTGCAATATATGGTTGATAATGCTGCGGGGGGAGACATTGGTGCGAAGACTGCCGAAGAGATGTACGATATTTTTGAGACAATGAGTGCCAACTCGTCTCAGAAGAGCAGTCGAGGGAAGAGAGCGGTAGTGAATGAGGCATCTCCGAGACAAGATATGATGGCTCATCAGATAGCTGAGCTGACGGAGCAAATGCGGCTAATGAATGCTCGGACAATGCAGCCAGCCCAGACTATGGCAGTGGACACGTGCGGGGCGTGTGGAGCCCAAGGACATCGGTCAGAGGTGTGCCCATCAGCTTTCGATCAGGAGCTTGGAGAGCAATACACTGACGTCAACGCTCTCCAAGGATATCAGAACCGGCAACCAAACGACCCCTTTTCCAACACTTACAATCCGGGGTGGAGAAACCACCCACACTTCTCGTGGTCCAACAACAACAACACTCTCCAACCACCTCGCCCAAACTTCAACCAACAGCAATTCCGTCCGAACTTCATGAATCAGCAACCTCGCCCCAACTTCATCCCTCGTCCCAATTACCAACAACAACAGCAGCCGCAACAACAAGCTCAAGAGTCCGGTTCGAGCTCGTCGAACCAAGATGACAAGCTAGACAAGATCCTTCAGTTCATCACTAACCAGGACTCATCTATTAAGCGTCTCGAGACGCAAGTGGGTCAGCTGGCCACAAGAGTTGGTAACATGGAGGCTGAGTCAGATAAAGGAAAACTTCCGAGCCAGCCCGAGCAGGCAAAGGCAATCACTGTGTTGAGAAGTGGGAAAGAAGTGGACAACAAGGTGAGAATGCCCGAGCCCGACGACCCCAAGCCAACTGACCAGGCCAAAGAAGCAAAGGAGAATGTGAAGAGCAAGGAAGCCGATGTAGAGAAGCCGACTGATGGTTCAATGTTGCACAAGTCGCCGAATCCTTACAAACCACGCATCCCTTTTCCTAGTAGACTCCGAGATGAGAAGCAAGAGCAGCAATTCCGAGACCTCTACAACATGCTTTCAAAGGTCAACGTGAACTTGCCTCTTTTAGATGTGATCAAGAACATGCCGTCATATGTGAAGTTTTTCAAGGATTTGGTCACAAAGAAGAGGAAGTTCGGAGATGGGGAGAAGGTGGTTGTCTATGAAGCTGCAAGTGCTATGCAACATGATCTTCCAAAGAAAGAACGAGACCCTGGAGGTTTCGTGATAAAGATTGCTCTGGGGAATGGAAAGGAGGCTTCGGGGATGCTCGACCTCGGAGCGGGAATCAACCTCATGCCGTTTTCTATCTTCCAGCGGCTCGGTCTAGGAGATTTGAGACCCACTCGCATGTGCCTTCAGCTCGCAGACCGTTCTATCAGATACCCCAAGGGGGTAGTTGAGGATGTTCTTGTTCGTGTCGGGAGACTTATTGTCCCGGTAGACTTTGTTGTGTTAGATGTGGGGGACGTTCAGGAGAATGGGAAGGATCACACCATCCTTCTTGGTAGACCATTCATGGCCACTACCAACACACTCATTGACGTGAGGAATGGGACGTTGAATATGACAGTCTTAGGTGAATCCGTGTCCATTTCCGTCCGGGAAGCCACCTCGGCATCCTCGGTGAACTTTGTGGAAGAGTGTTCTTTTGTAGATGTGAGTGACCCATTCGTGGAAGAGGTAACCGTTCGAGATTTGGAAGAGAGATTGATGCCCAAACTTGAGGAGGAGGAAGGCCCAGTTATCGAGTTGTTAATGGAAGTCGAAGAGCCGAGATCGACAACCCCACCAGCAATAGAGTTAAAAGAATTGCCTCGTCACCTCAAGTATGTGTTCCTCGATGACAAGAAGCAAAAGCCGGTCATTATCTTTGCTGAGCTTGACCGCGAAGAGGAGAAGGAGCTGATCGAGGTACTTAAGAGGAACCAACAAGCTATTGGTTGGAGCCTAGGGGACATTAAGGGCATCAGCCCTTCCACATGCATGCACCGGATCATTCTGGAGGAGGGTGCTAAGCCTTTTCGGGACAGCCAACGGAGGCTCAACCCGAATATGATGGAAGTGGTTAAGAAGGAAGTGCTGAAACTCTATTCCGAAGGGCTTATCTATCCAGTGGCCGATAGCGAGTGGGTGAGTCCCATTCATGTGGTACCAAAGAAGGGAGGCATCACGGTAATCGAGAATGAGAGAAAGGAGATGGTTCCCACCCGCATTACCACCGGGTGGAGAATGTGCATCGACTACAGGCGGCTCAACGCCGTGACCAAGAAGGACCATTTCCCGTTGCCGTTTATTGACCAAATTCTCGACCGACTCTCCGGCCACCAGTTCTATTGCTTCTTGGACGGACTTTCGGGCTA